GTGTGTGTGTGTGTGTGGGTGTGTGTGTGTGTGTGTGTGTGTACAGCGACCGTCTCTCCGCGTTGGGCGGCCACATTTTCGCCCCGCGGCCAGGCCTGGCTGCCCGCGTGGCCGTGGGCGCTGCGAGTGGCAGCCGCTGTGGGGCGGCTGCTGTGGGGTGGCTGGGCGAGCGCCGCACGTACCCAGCTATGCCGGCGCAGCCGGCCCGGGTGCTGGCAATGTAGGAATACATGGGGTGTGTGGAGGGGGTTCCTCTGGGCGTGAGGCTCTGCTTGCACAGACTTTGCCCCTACGTTTCCTGGTGGCCCCTTGGCTTGGTGAAAGACAAGGTGATTGTGCTGAAAAGCTGCTTCTGTGGTGGTTTCTTCTCATTATCTGAATTTAGCTGGTGAAGTGGCACTTGGGGAGCTGGGTTCTTCGGTGTGGGCTCTGCAGCTGGACTGGTACGTTAGAGGAGGGCATGGCCCTCTCTGCTTAGCTCTGCCCGCTGCTGCAGTAGGCGAGGGCAGCGCCCACTCGCTGTGTGGCCCCTACTGCAAGCCGCTGCACGCGGAGGCCTAGCTGCTCCTAACTGCTGTTTCTTTCTGTATTGCAGCTCGTTAGTGACTTGCTGGAATTCTGTTTCTACACCTTCCGAGAGTCTCAGGCACTGAAAGTAGAGTTTCCAGCCATGCTGGTGGAAATCATCAGTGACCAGCTACCAAAGGTGGAATCTGGGAATGCCAAGCCCCTGTACTTTCACAGGAAGTGATAGAAAATGTCTTAAATGGAAGAACTTTGCCTTAAGTTTCCCTGTGTTATTCCACACCCATGAAGGACCCAAGAAACCATATTTTAAACATGCTCTTTACACTTGTTCAGCCGTCTCTGAATAGGCTAAAATCATGCGAAGGGTTTGGGGAATGGAGAACAGTTGACCTGGATTTGGCAAGACCTAGATGTTTGGAAATTACCCCTTACCCTGAAACATTTAGAAAATGTTCCTGTTCCTCGGATGAAAAGCCATATCTAGTCAATAACTCTTTGATTTTGATATTTTAACAGACGGAGTTTTAAATATGCCATGTAGTTTCTGGTATTGTTTGCCTGTTTTAAAAGGGTTCAAGAACTAACAAGAACTTTTTAAAGCTTACCCTTGGTTTGCACATAAACAGTAAAGTCAATATGGGGCATTAATATTCTTTTCTTGTAAAAAAGAAAAACAAAAACTATATATACATACGTACACACACACACCCCCTAATGTGTAAAGTAATAACAGACCATTTGGTGTGGAATACTCTGCTATCCCCACCTGTGGCATTTGTTATCCCATTTTATCCCATCATAGCTGATATACACTGTGTTAAGTGTCCATTTACTATTTAATTAAGGAGGATAAGATGTGAAAACAAATGCCCTGGTATCAATTTATAGTATCTATTGTGCTGGCTTTACAAATAATTTTTTGCAGTCTTTTGCTGTACTGTACATTGCTGTATGTATAAATTGTGAAGGACCTGAAATAAGGTGTAAGGAACTTTTGTAAATGAGACAAAAATCTTTAATGGTTAATAGGATGAATGGGAAAGTATTTTTGAAAGAACTCTATTTTGCTGGAGACTATTTAAGTACTATCTTTGTCTAAACAAACAAGGTAATTTTTTTGTAAAGTGAAATGTTCTGCATGCATAATGAACCGTTTACAGTGTATTTAAGAAAGGGAAAGCTGTGCCTTTTTTAGCATCATATCTAATTTACCATCCTACAGTATCTGTTGTAAATAACCACACCTAACCTTTTTCAGTTGTATTTAAGCCTTTGTTTTCCTCTCTCTTTTTCTTCCTTTGTCTCTCGCTTGCAAGTGTGCGTGACTCGAGCCCATCCTAGATGTCCTGCTTCCTCTTTCCGTAGGAAACTGCCCGCTGTCGTGCTTGCCACGTTACGGAGGTTTCATTTAACAAGACAAATCACGGCCTCTCCCCAGCTTGGGACAGAGCTTCGTGACGGAGGCGGTTCTGGCCCTCTGCTCCCTCTCGCGCTCGCTCACTCGCTCTCAGGGGAATAAGGGTGAACAAGATGGTGAACCATTTTCCTTTTTTATCAAGGGTTCCCACAGTGATTGCGTCTCCTTTGATTACTGACTGTCCCCAGCCCCCCGGAGGTCAGCTCACGGGTTCAGGGTGGCCCTTGTGGCACCGAGCAGCTCGAGGGGAGCAGCCGCCCCGTCAGTGATAAACTCAACCCCTCAGGGGCTGCAAGCAGTTCTGTGAAAACCAGAATACGTCTGGAAAGACAAGTGTGTTCACGCTACAAGTTCAACTCAGCTCGTCTAATTTTGTCTCAAAAATGTTTTCTCTAGAGTAAACTGCACAGATCAACTTTTTGAGGTGATTTTTGCTGTTTCACAATTCATAAGCAAATACAGCTTTTGGGGTAGAATCGAGGCCAGGTGAACTTGTCTGAGGCTCCCTGTTGCTGCCCTGTGCTCACGGAGCTAGGCTAGTTTTCCAGAGTCCTCGTCCCTGTGGGCGACACTGGTATTTCTGGGCTGTAGCTGTCCCCCGACCGGTCCGAATGTAGCATTTCTTCTGCAGGGTGGTCTCCCAGGAATGAGGTAGGATTCCAAACTCCAGAGTGCGCCTTGGTGCACACAAGGCAGTCAGTGCGACTTGTCTTTTTAAATGACACCTGCCTTATGCAATGAGTAATCTGTAAAGACTGTGTTCCGAGAGGGTTTTTTTATATATAAATATATACATACATATATTATTTGCATTTTGGAAGTCTAATTCATAGGCAGATCTTTAAATACTGACCTGCACAGCAATATGAAAGCCAAACTTCCAACATGAGATACACAGCATGCAGACTGGTTGTTTACAGGAATAGTCAGACAGCCATCCTTTCATTTACTTTTTTTCTTTTTTCTTTTTTTTTTTTAAGTCTAAAATAGGAAATTTCAAAGCCAGGTTTGGGGCAAATACAGTCTGCAGCAGCTTTTTATATTAACAAAGTTACTGCCTCCTTTTCTGTCTCAAAGTAACTTTGCTTGATTAAAATAGCAAAGCCATATTCTACACTTCACTGTTAAATGCCTGTCCCAGTCCAAATTGTTGTCTGTTTGCTCTTATTTTTGTACCTTATTACTTTTAATCTTGGTTTGGTACAATTCATAATTCACAGAAACTTCATATAATTAAACACACTAAATTAGTTTTAAAAAGCAATTTATATCTTTATGCAAAAACGTATGTCTGTCTTTGCAAACAACTGTAAGCAGATTATAATAAATCCTTTACTTTAATCACCTGTTGTTTATGAAACCATTCATTGATTACTACTTTTTGTTAGAGATCATTGAAGAAATAGATAAAATTGGATATAGATGTTGCAAGAGGCCGTGTTCTCTTATCCAGGACACTTAAGCAGAATAGCCATCACTTTTTTATCTAAACCTGTACAGAAAAAAAAAAAAAAAAAAACCCAGACTAGTTTTTAGCTTCCAAAAGCTACATTATTTTGAATTTGTTTAGAATGAAATAGGCATTTGTCTCCTGCAAAATACAAGACAAACTAAAACCATCTTTTCAAAGTGGGCTTCTGTTCAATGAGATAAATTATTTTGTTGTAAGAAGGAATGGGGATATACAGCAAGAGCATTGTATACACAGTTAAAATGTAAAATAGCATTCATGTACTGCAGTGGGTATTTCAGGAATACTACACACTATGCAACTCAACGGTTGCATGAAATAAAATAGAAAGACTAAAAGTTTGCAATATCAAAATCTTATTAAAAAGATACTTTACAATCAATAATGCAAAAAGCTAATTCACAGGGTGGTGTTTTTCACTGACTTGTTTAAACATTTATGAAATTAAACAATTCTACAGTTAATGCACTTTTAATTGTTTATTAAAGATTTGACTTTTCCTTTTTTAGAGCAATGTTTTCAGCTGGAGGTCAATGACTTGATAAAACAGACAGCAGTTCTGAGGCCAGGAAGCTCAGAGGAATGTTTAAGAATTCTTGGAGTTTAACTAGATTCCTGGATGACAAATAAAAGCAGCCAGCAGTATGGTGTACACAGTAAAATCTATGCATAATGATGCATTTATAATTAGGGGTTTGCTTCTGTATGTTTAAAGCTTTTTAAATAAATAGAAAATATTGTTTGGTCTTTATGTTAATGTCTGCAAGTACCTATTTTTTTTACATAAATTGTACAAATATACCTGAATTAAACTGGTTTGATTGCAAGTATTTCTTGCACTTTAATCTCAGCTAGCTGCTGGTGCAGTGATTTCCTTAGAACTGAGCTTTACACCCTTCCAGACAGTCCTAGACAGCAGCACAGAGGTGCTAACACGAGGCCCCGTCCCTGCGCTCGGCGTTTGCAACCTGCTGCGCCTGCGCTGGGCTCGAGCGCCGCGCTGCCGCCCGCTCCGAGCGCTGCCGCCCGCTCCGAGCGCTGCCGCCCGCTCCGAGCGCTGCCCTCGGCTCCGGCAGCTCTTCCGAGCGCGGCCTCCTGGAAGGGGCAGCGAAAGCAGCAGCCTCCCAGGCCCGGCGAAGTCCGCCCAGTTCTGCCTCGCCCAGCGCCGCGGAACCTACGGAGCAGGCTTGGAGCTTCCCGCAGGGAGACACGGGCTGTGTCTGGGCCCTGCACGAGTCCTGCCGGGGCAGCGGCTCCAGGTGCCTTCTCCGAGCCGGGTCCTTCCCACTCCCGGCAGAAAGCCGGTGGGAACAAGGGGGGCCCAGCGCTGGCAGCAGCAGCTCCGATGGGCAGGACACCCTGTCACTGCTTGAACTCAGCGTGGAAGCCGTGGCCTGACCTCCAGCTGCCTTATGAACCTATCTCCACCACGTGGAAGGCTGCAATGTGTGCACAGTAAGACAAAGAAGAGCAAGAATGCCTTTCCATTTTAAACATTTTGCTATTGGTGTTAAAACATGCCATACTTTAAAAAAAGAGAATGTTTTAATTGCAGATCCCAATAGGATGAAGTGTATTTGGTGCGTACCGCTCGTTACTGCAATGCAGAACAGGGCACACTCTTGACTTCCTATGCAGAAAATGCTATCCAAGACCTAAAAGGTGACACTTACTTCAAAGAAAGACAGCGCTCAGTAAAAACTGGCTTAGCAGCGGTGCCTTTGCAGCTTACCGTGTCCTGGGTCACCGAGGGGTGGCTTTTCCTGGGAAGCAGGTAAGAGCTGTGCCGTGGGCTGGCAGAGACGGAACAGGGAGCAGTGCACGGAGAAGGGCAGCCGCTGGGCTCGCCGCAGCTGCAGGAGGTGCCCGAGCCGCACACGCTGCAAGCAGCGCAGCAGAGCGCTGCTGCCCTCACAGGGCGCTGCAGGCCCCCACCGCCGTCGTCCCCAGCACGCGGCAGCCTCGGGAATCCCGTGGGAAAGGATGGGGCGGAGCCGCAGGCTGGGCAAGGAGCGGAGCTGGACACCATGCGGCACTGCACCCGCTCCTGCGCCAGCCCGGCACGAGGCGCAGCCCTTGCAGCCGCTGCCGAGGCCAGTGCCCAGTGGCGAGCCCGGCGCGGGGAGCAGAACCCGGCTCAGCTGCGCCTACAGCTGGGAAGCACCAACCCGGCCAGCGTCAGGAAGCTCCCTGGGAGGACACAGTGAGACCAGACATCCGTGGGTGAGGAGAGAACGAAAGGAAAAAAAGAAAACAAAGAGCTTAGCTGGCTTTCTCTGTAACTGAGTTACTTCCCTACCTATTTCAAGTTAACATTGCTTTATTCTGTCTTCCCAAATGTGCCAAATTAGAGGAAAGCAAGACAAAAAAAGGAGATCAGCAAAAACGCCCAATGGCAGAAGACAGAAGAGTGCCAAAGGACTGAGACAGCAGGGGACAGAGAAGTTCTTTTAAAAAAAAAACAGAAAAAAAAATTTTAGCATTATTTAATCTTGGCGCCCAGGTGCGAGGGCATCATTTACAGAACTGTTGACAGCGTGAAGGAGGAAGGTGCTGGGGCAGGGCCAGGCTGCTGTGCAAGTCTGCACTCACACCAGTGTGAAGAGGACCAGGCTGCCGTGGAAAACCGTCTGCCAGGTAGCAGCTCCCACAGCTAAATTCCTGAGCGGTGTGTGGTTAACCTGGAAGCCACATCAGATCTGGCTCGGCCTGCACCACTGCTTTTAGACAAAATCTGGGACGTGAGAAAGTCTGAATCAGTCTTACCCCTGCTCACTGTATCAGGGCTCAAAAGAGGAGGATCGTTCTGCCCTGGCTCCACGAGTAACAGGAATCTCAAAACATCTCACCTAAGGGCAAACAGGGTCACAGGACTGCGTTGATGGGACGCTGGGGAAGAAAGAAGTCTCTTCTTCTTTCTCTGTGTATCTGCATTTTCAAACCACTTCCCTATAAAAAAAAAAAAAAAAAAAAGAGAGAAAATATGTTGCACATGAAACAGCTGAAAAGCTGAAAATACCATTTGGGAGGCAGCAGCCAGACCATAACAAACACGCACTGTGTGTTTTAAAGAGAAAACAAGGGAAAGTGACTTAAGAAGCTTCCAGTGGCGACAGTGTCGCTCGCTCGCGGGGCCGGCTCCTCCCTGCCGCCCTCCTGCGCTGACCACAGGGCTCAAGTTTGCAGCTCCGGGAGCAGCCGTGCGCACACCCAGGGTCTGCGTGGGCTGGGAGCAGAATTGTGGTAGCGAGTCAAGGCCTAAGGGAAAGAGCACCCCCTCCTTAAGGCACCATTAGCCATTACCCGGGTTGCTAATCACATTAGCGAGAAAAGTGTGCGCGCTAAGTCTATGTGCAGCCACTCCGCGGTCCAGTTTCACAGTAAGTGAGCCTGTGTTAACATGTCACCTTCCCGTCTCCCTTCCCCTGCCTCCCAGCGGATCTTCGCTGAAGGTGAAGGCAATACACGGAATTCACGCTGAGCTGCAGGCCACGCTATCTCCCAGGCGCAGTTCCAAGGCCCCAGGCTCCGGCCGCCTCCCGGGGACGCCCCGCACGGCAGCGCGGCCCCGAGGTGTGGGCGGCAGCGGGAGCCGCTCGGAGCGGCCACGGCACAACTGCCACGACGTGGGCCCCGGGCGCGGGGCAGGAGGGAGGGCCCCAGCCCTGTGGGGCTGCTCTGACCCACTGCGCCCGCTGCCCCTATGATGTTGTGTCATTTCATACTGTACCTGAGAGACCAGAGCGAGACAGTCCCCAACTTAAGGAGCGCTTACGGTAAATAACAAATAACGTTTTATTTCACTTACAGTGGTGATTTTGAGTAGCAAAGGAACCATGACATACAGGAGCCTGTAATAAAAGTTCACATACCTTATCTTTATAAAACAATATAAATGAAGCCACACACACAACATAAATGAATTTGTCCTTTAAAGACATTTGAAAAATGTCATGTCTGCATACCTATTTTACCTATTGATATGTCTGTTCCATATTGTCTGTCTTTTCCATTTTGAAACGTAATTTTATCATCAGCATAATAGCTTTTTTTTTAATCTAACAATATTTTTCAAACTCAATATTCTGTTAACATTGGGCACAGATAATCTTCAGGACACTAAAATTTTTAAAAACTTTCTTCCACTGATATTTGAGTCACAGATCAACTAGAAGCTTGTCTGAAAATACTGATTACCTTCCAGATACATGGACCACAATTGTGCTTTACAATTAAAAAACTCTTTAAAACTTCAACTATTCCCCATTCCACTTTCTTGCCGCCACCCAATCCAAACGTCCTTAAAGAAGCTTCTATTTGTAATTCATATTTGGCAACACTTAATGTCTTTATACAGAATAGGATCTTCAACCCATAATCAGGCTCTTCGTTGATTAAAGACAGTCACAGGAGCAGAGAGCAGTGACTATAACAAAAATCCATGGATACCATGTACACCTTCTTGGCGTTCAATGCACAGAGCTATAAAAACTGAACATAGTTTTGTGGAATAAGTCCCCTCCTGCCATTCAGCGTGCCTTCCAGCCATCCTGGTTCTCTGGAAAATTGCACTACAAAAGGAAAGAAAGAAAAAAAAAAGAATTAAAATAGTACTGCATCTTTTTAGGCTTGGTTTTAGCTTTAGCTCCATAACACCATACAAAACATCCATAAAAACAGCCCATCTTCTGCACTGACATTCAAAAACGTGGCTATGAAAGAGGCCAGGGATGGTCAACGTAGTGGGAATATCTGGACAATCCAGGTGGTCGAGCACTTGCCTGGTAAGCGTTTGACGGGGTCAAAAAAGCTTTGGAGACAGGATACAACGTGAGGAAAACTCTGAGGCCCCTTAGGAGCTATGGCTTTATACAATGGGAAGTCTAGAATTCACATCAAACCACTGGAAACTATTTCAGTAGCTGGGCGCAAGGTGATACCAAAAAGCTGTCTCGAGGGCTGAGGAAGTTGGGAGCTGAAGCCACAGGAAAGCGGCTTAGCAGGTTACTCGGCATGAAAACTCAAAGGATGGCAGGGAAATGGAATTGAGTGGGATCTCATTCCAGGGAAGCATCATATCTTCACAGATAAACCTCCACATTTTGGTACAGACCACTGGACAACAGCTAAATCATTCATATGGTGAAATTA